AAACAGAGGCCCGATACGCATGTACATTCTAAACAAATCAACAATAGCTAATAGTCCGTAAATATATATATAGTCACACTAAAGGACTCTCACTGGACTACAGGCCGGTCTCAACCTGAATAGAGGTAACATGCTAAAACGCACACGAAGTGGGCATATGTACCTATACCTAAACAGGGTACACCTCCAACCATCGTAGCCAGCTACACATCCCGATGCATATACGCTCCCAAGCCATCGGTCCTGAGGCTCAAGCTCATACCGAGGCACCATAACAGTACATATATAAAATCTATCCAAAACCCCTGGTATTGCCGCTCAACAAGTAGTTGCCATGACAATACAAATCAACGGGACTTAACTTTTAGTTAATCCCATCCTTATTCCAAGTAGGTGGGTAATGGTATTGTTTTAAAAACCAAACCCATCCTTAGTATGTCACCGTCCCATACCGGTGCCTACTTTCCAATCCTCCAGTAGTCAATAATAGCAATAAATCAAGTATATATTGTAATACCCCGTATTTTTGGAAGTGATTATTTAAATTAATGTTCTAATGTGTAGGTTTATTCATCTTTTAATGTTAGATTATTAAATTAATTATTTGTGCGTGAAATGTTGATTATGTGCACTACGTATTATAATGCTAATTTTTATATTTTATTTATTTGTGTTTTATACTAATATAAAGTAAGAATAATAAATAATAAAATATTATTATATCGTGCTTTGTATATTACGTGCTCTACCTATCCTAAGGTTAGTATTTATATTTTATGGATTATGTTTTATAAAATTAGAATATAAGAATAATAATAATATAACAATAATTAGAATATAATAATATAGTGGAAATAATAATAATAATAATATTAAGCCAAAGTCATGATGTATGTTTGAAATGAAACTTTCATTTATGTGAAATAGAAGACTTAGGGGCATTAGGCTTAACGGAATATAGGTGAGAGGATGGGGAGGTTAAGGAAGTAATGATAAGTAGATATTTGTAATATTTAAATTATATAAATTAGTTATATATAGAAGTTAGTTATCTTTGGGTTGAGGATTCACGGAGGAAGAAGAGAAATAAGTAATTGTGAGTTACTTGATAAGAGTGAAAGGAAGAGAGAGAAAGAAGGGAGCTTGGACCGGCGTAGGCAATTTACCCGATTACGCGCAGACCGGGGGATTTATTTTAAATCCAAAAAGGCAAGTTATTATCTATTTTTCCCCTTTGAATCCATAAATTAATTGTTTAAATTATTTAGATTATGATGGAGCATTGAGAACATACTTAGATTTTAATAAATGATTTTTTTAGTTTATTAAATTAATGAATTTTAATTATATAGGATGGTATATATTTATTTAATGTCCTATGAAATTAATAATGGCCGAAAATAATTAAATGAGGCTTTAGGGATTTTTCTAGAATTTTCTAGATTTTTCGGGCATTTTCTGCAATTTCCGGCGACCTTCCGGCGAGTTTTTCGGTCGCCGGCAATGGGGGAGATGACCGGAGTGATCCGGTGTGACGCGGCGCACCATAGGAGGGTGTGCGCGCGCATCCTGGGCCTTAGATGAAGCTGATTGATCCGGTGCATCGCGGTCCATGTTACCGCGGTACACCCGGATCCATGAGCACAGGATTGAATGATGAGAGGGTGAGATGATTCAGTGTAGCGCACCCATAGTAGGATGATGCAACCACCGAATCAGGAGCCGCCGCGTCAGCAAGTTACCATTAGTGCGCGCGTGGAACGCTCCAGACGCGCGTGGGAGCGCGTGCGCGCGCGTGGCTGATGCCAGACGCGCGTGGAGGCGCGTGGGAGAGTGGGAAAGCTTGGCGGCGCATGTGGGGAGCTCTGGGAGGCGCGTGGGGGCGCGTGAAGGGCCTCTGCAGCTGCTGGAAAAGTCCAGAATACCCCTAGGGACTGTTTTGTCATTACCAGGACCTTCACTATACATTTTGGGGCCTCGGGTTGGCATTTTTAGAATTAACGGGACATTATATTATTATTTTATTTCTCGTTAACTATTATAATTGTCCGATTAATATTTCTAAATATTAATTGTATCAGTTAAAGTGCGAATCGCTAGTAAACATATGTAATTAATTTAACGACTATTAATGGTATTATTTTATTAAACTGTAATAACCATTAATGTTAAATTAATTAGTGCTTGGTTTTATTCATATAAATAACCCATTATATATTATGGAATATTTATACTGTTAATCGTATACAAACCATGATTATTATGCTGTGTGCATTTCAGGAAATAAATGGACTGTTTAAATTATGTCGCATTTATATTATATGGATGTGTTGCCATATAGAACCATGTGAGCTGGCTAATAAGTTTAGACTCATTTATACCTTATGCATTCGTTGCGATAGACAGATGTGTGGCTGTCGGGGGATGTGGTTTAATATTATTGGCATGTGTTGCCTAATTAACATACTCAGTATATTTATTAATATTGCTGGCATGTGTTGTCTAACTTATATGCTCAGTATATTCATCAGTAGTTTGCGAGGTGTTATCACTGTGTAGTTCGTTATAGTCTGTATTGTCAGTACCGTGCACCATGTATAATAGCTGATTTCCCGGATGGGGAAAGGCGACACTTAACCACCTAGCGTGAGTCTAAGTGATCACCGTCTATTCTGGTTGAGGTCATGTTATACATGGGATAGTTCCCTTAGGATGTATACAGATATAGTACTCAACCGATTCATAATGATTAATTTATTTGATTCTCTGATTTGGGTCATAGTAGAGAAGACTTGCTCGTGGGGTTGACCCACCATTGTTGTTATTTCAGGATACGGTCAGTATCCGTTCCAAGGTTGAGGTTAGAAGTGTGGGACCACCATCCGAACTCATCTACTCTTACGATCCAGTTCAGGGTAGAAGTTTTACGTATTACTTCAGTTTCAGTTTTTATTTACTTTTGACGTTGAACTCTCAGGTTTATATTTAGGGATCCTTGACATAGGATTTCCAAGTTGTAATGGAGTACTGTATTTAAATAAAGGATGGATGGATGTTATATTATTTAATGTTTCTTTCCTTTCTAAATTCTTTTATTATCATCATTTTGTATTCCATGCTTGTATATTGCCAATTGTTTTGATATCCCTCGTTTTTCGTGTATAAGCCTGATCAACTTATGCGTGGAAAATGTGGGAGTGTTACATATATCAACTAAATTCCAACATCCAACATTCAATGTTAGCAGTGATAAAATAAGTATTGATAAACAGGGTCACAACAACAACATATACATGCCCAATTTAAGTTGTTCCCTTTAGTCTGATATAAAGACAGAATTAATTAAAACTTCCATTTAACACCTTACAAATGACATACAGATATGTAGGGTATGTATCACAAAATCGTAACCTCCACAGTTGATACTAACTGTGATAATGTAAGCATCAAAACAATATTCACAGTATGTATGTAGACATGCTCAAGTTATAATGTTCCACAAAACCGATCTAGTGTTAAACTCAAATCCTCCTAGTATTTAAGTTCCAACAGTTGCTATTACAGAAGTTAAGATAACTATCATCTAGACCCATCCTTCCAATAATTTATACTAGCAGTGGTAAGGAAAAACGTGAACCACAGAACCACAATGCATCCACAAACATGCTTAGTCTAGGTTGAACAAGCATACAACACTACTGTAACTACCAGTTTCATAGCAAAACAGATATCATTTTAGTTTGGTTTAATCTTCATTAATCCTGGAATCATTTAAGAGTGCAAAGAGTATGAAGCCTAAGGGAAAGAGTAAGGATAGAATCTTGCCTCAGAAACTTTTGTACAAAGTTTCAACGTCGTCTTCTTTAAAAATCCCAGCGAGTTCCAAAACCCGGTTACTGTTCACGGGTACGAAACATTATTCCTGAACTCAAAATCTAATCTTCACCGTTCAGATTGTGCGACACTGAGTCATGAACCTATCCTCCAAATTTCAGCTCGATCGGACCACGGACGAAGCGGGATCGGATGTTTGATGAAATCTGGGCAGAATGGAAAAAAACCTGTGCGACCCAGTTACTGTTCATGAGTACGAATCATTGTTCCCGAGGTCAAACTCTGATCTCCACCGTTCAGATTGTGCGTCACTGAGTCATCAACCTCTCCTCCAAAATTCAGCTCGATCGGACCACGGACGAAGCGGAATCGGAGCTTTGATCAAACCTTGGCAGAATGTGAAAAACTGCGTTTTTCCTTCTCCACTTCCACAAAACGTGTGCTTTGTTTAAAAAACACCCTACACAGACGTCTACCTTATACTTATAGAGTTTTTCTAAACCCTAGGTTCATTTAAGTCTAACTCACAATCCTAACCGGCCCATCCAATTAACGTAGAAACCTACGACGGCTATAATATAAAACCCTAATTTATACTGTAATTAAAACCCTAGTTAGATGTATTTACCTAATTACCCTATTCACCATTAAATACTTAATAAATAATCTAATTGAATAAAATAATAATTAGTAAACCCAATTAAACCAAATAAGACACACATAAAATAAGACACACATAAAATAATTAAACCAATTACACTTAAACCATTAATGCCAATTAAATAATTAAAACACTAACAAGTAATTCCAATCAAATAACTAAACCAATCACACTTAAACCATTAATGTCAATTAAATAATTAAAACACTAACAAGTAATTCCAATCAAATAACTAAAAATAAATATCATTTAAATAAATTAAATCACCACAAAAGAAAACAATTAAGCACCTAATAAAAAAATAATGACACAATAATCAAATAAAATGCACTTAAATAATAAATTAAATACCATTAAATACCAGGAATATCCTTTTTTAAATTAGGGGTATTACAACTAATGCGCGTTGTGAGTAGTATTCGACTGCCACAATTATTGTTAGGTAATGTATTTTAAAGCATCCCATGCATTCATACTCCACACATCATCAAGAACAAGCACATACCTTCTAGGTTGGAGGAAATCCTTGAGTTGTGCCTTCAGATTATTGTTGTCCATGGATTCCAATATTTGAGGTGCCAGCTTCTTGACTTCATTAAAGAGTTGTTGAATTAAGTCTTTGAGAAGCTCTTTGAGATCAAAGGACTGTGAAACAGTGATCCAAGCATGGCTTTTAAAATGATTCTTCACCTCGATATTATCATAGACTTTCTTTATTTTTCCCATCACCCCATTACCAGAACTAAAAAAACTTCTTGAAGTGTTGCCCAAAAGCCACACAATCAGCTGCTTTTTGGGCCCATCAATGCCACAAGCTCTGCTTCTTCCAGTAGCAGTGAATCACTGCGACGATCATACCATATGTTATTGACAGTTTTGGAAATTTGTAACGGTATTTCTGATGTCACTCAGCAATTATATTCACTCTAGACCTTATTATTTGTATCTTAGAAGCAATTCGTGTTAGGAAACGTGCAAGTTTTAAAAACTTTTTGAGAGATTTTCTTTCACAGATCTTGATTCATCACATAGAGACAAGTTTTATGTAAAAATAAAATATGATGAATCATTCAATTAATGAATTGAATACTTACATCAAAGGTCTGAGTAAACCTTTAAATCTTTCATCTAAAGTGAATGTTCTCACTTATTGTAGATCCCTCAGCAAGATGCCTTCTCCTTGGATCTCCATCTTCTTGGTAATTGTTATGCCTTTAGGAGTCACTCATAAGCCTCCATGAATGACCTTGGAAAAATAGGCTTGTGGGAGCCTCCATTAGATGAGAGCATTAACCCTAATTTTTTTAGAGAGAGAAAATTTATTCCTTTTTTTCTTCTTCTAAAAATCACCATCAAAATATACATAAACCATGTATATTTATAGGCAACATAAAGGTAAAGAAAAGGAAACAACGAATCCTTCTCAATCTCTAATTTACATGTCTTACATCTAATATGATTCCAATATCAAGTTGGGCTATGAGTGAGAATCCATTGGGCCTATTATTTTATTGGCTACAATGAATTAATAATTGGCCCAGTCCATGGACCCAATTCAATTAATTCATAAATTAATTTCTACTCCACTAAAAGAAATTAATTGAACTCCAATTAAATAATAAATAACCTCTAAGTCAATATTGCACTTTGACCCCTCTATGCATAATTAGTTATCGGATAAATAAAGCCATCAATCCGACTACTTAATTAATATATTTATTTTGGTACCATTGATTATTTCTGGCTCGATCACAAAAAAACATTTGTTTGACAAAAATAATAATTTAATAAATAAAATATAATAAATCATTTTGTCTAAAACCACACGAAGGTCTTCGAATTTACTTTGTGATCAACCATAATCAATACAAAATGAATACAACTAGCAATGATGCAAATATTGAAATATAACCCTTTAACTATTAATCACATAACTACCCAAAGTGTCGGTCTAAGGATCCCGAAGAATCCGCCAATCAAATCAAAGTAATTATTAATTAATAAAAGAGTCTATAATTTTCTCATGCTTAAGAGTCAAATGCCATGACGATGATAGGGAGCAATTGCATACGACGGCTCTCGCAATATATCTCAACCTAACGCGGATCTAGTTTAAGTCTTAATTAATTATGAGTCCATCCATAATTACTCACTATGAACAATTTATAATTAATATTTATATATTATGCATTGATTGCCATCACTTACATATATATATAAATATTTCTTGTAATCACAGGGACACTATCAATTTTATAGTGAATCGAAACATAATACATTGAATTCACCAATTATATAAATCATAAATATTTCAGATATGTCAGGAACATATGTCACTATAATCCAGATAGAAATTTGCTATGCCAGGGTATATAAATCCCAACAGCTCCCACTTGCCCTCATAGCCAATTCAAATTGCACCTAACACCAATGTTATCCAGATGATGATCAAAATTATTGATCAATGACACCTTTGATAATGGATCAACAAAGTTGTGTTCCAATGCAATGTTCTGGCTACAAGTACATTTTCTTGCCGGACAATATCATGTAGAACATGATACTTCCTCTCAGTGTATCTTGTTCTTCTATAAAACTTTGGGTCATTGGTTTGGACTACTTCTGCACTATTGTCGCAACATAGCTCAATAGGCAGGCTAGTATACTCCACAACTTCTAAATCAGTGAGATCAAACCAAGAGGCTTCATTTGCCGCCTTTAAGGCTGTAATGTATTCCACCTGCAGGTTTGAGTCAGCAGTTGAAATCTGCTTAACAATCTACCAACTGATTTCCCTTCCATTAAATGAACATACGCTAAGTCATGAACCTCATAGTATCTACTTCTGATTGAAAATCAGAACTACCATACCTGACTAGGACCATATCATCACATCCATAACTGAGTATGATATCCTTGGTCCTCCTTAGATACTTAATGATATTTTTCACAACAGACCAGTTATCAAGTCCAGGATTGGACTGATATCATCTGACTATCCCTACAATGTAGCGGATGTCCTATTTGGTATAAACCATGGCATATATGAGACTTTCATATGCCAAAGCATATAGTTTCAGTCTCATTTGCTCAATCTCCTCTGCTAGTCTTGGAAAACTACTTAATAGAGAGAGCAATCCATATCAATTAAGCAATAACTCATTCTTTGAGTTATGTATACCAAACCTAGTCAAAACTTTATCAATGTAGGATTATTAAGATAAGCCTATTTTCCTTTTAACCTGATCTTGCAAAAGCTTGATCCTAGGAATATAGCTTATATCTTAAGAATCCTTCATTTAGAAGTAATTGAACAACTACCTTTTTATTGATGACAAAACTTCCACGTCATTATAAATGAGTAGGATGTCATCAATATATATATAATCAGAAAAATAATGACATTCCCTTGTACACTCATGATTTATGCACTAAGAAATCTTCTGGTATCTTTTTGTAGATTAACTTGCCTTCCATAGGTATCACCCTACTAGAAAGTTCTACAAGATCTCAAAATTTATTAGAATACATAGATTCCAACTCTGATTTCATAGTAATTCGCCAAAACGATCTGTATCCATATCGGTTCACGCTTCTGTGTAGCTTACTGGGTCCAACTCATGTTTAACAAGGATGTCCATAACGGTCTCACCTAAAAACATGATTATGTCGGATTGGATAATTATCCTCCCACTACATTAATGTACCGATGAAGGAATCTGTGTACTAGATGATGCTGACGCATCAATAGGGAATTCATTTATAATTCTAAATCTCTATACTAAGTGTGTTCATATGTGGTATATCTGGTACTCTTACCATATTCTCTAACACTATGCTACTAGGTATGTGATTCATAATATGATTCTCCTATAGATAAACAGTGAGTGTAAACAATCAACTTTTATCATTGAGATCATAAAATAATCCGTCCTAGTGACATTTTAGAGTAGCTATCAAATCTATCATGTGTATGATCTGTTTCCAACTTACTTGTCCATATCAAGCGCACATGTGCAAGACTACCCTATATGTGCATATGATTCAAACTAAGATTTAGTCAAAAACACAGTTCAACGGTATCCTTGAGACAGACTAAGATGGAATGCAGTTCATAATACGCATCGATATCATTAATGCTAAACTCTTAAATGAAAGAGATAATGTGGCATAACTGATCATAGATCTAACCATGTTAAGTGGAATTCTGTTATTCCTATTTGACACCTAAATGCATTTAGCGTCAATTGCGAAAAACTGGTACACAACACCCTCATTGACCATATAGTCTTTGCACTATGCGAAGAAATACTCATATCCTCGATCAGATCGAAGTGTCTTGATAAGTTTACCTAATATGTGCTCCACATCAGTCTTGACCTTCTCAGAATATACCAAGAGTTTAAGACTTGTGTTGCATCAGATAAACTTATCCAAAACGTGAGTAATCTTGCTTGGATGTTCATAAGACCACACGTGTCAGTATGTACCGACTCCAATTGTCCTTTATGTCTATTTCATCTGGCTGATTAAGCCCTAAGAGTTATCTATCCTTCAAAACAGGGTTCACAAGTTTGGTTTAGGCTCCTCTGCCTCACTAGGTAATTAACCTTCTTTGACCAATCTTTAAATCTCATTTTGACTGATTACAACCCAAAAATAGACACTAAAAATACAATGAGTTAGGAATAACATTTTTTCTCTTAACATTCAATCTAGAAGATGCAACATTAGTTTCTACATCCTGCAAATCTTAAGAGTTTGTGATTATAGTATATTAACCATCTTTCAATACACCAAATGTAATCGCATATTTATTTAATTTTATAAAACCAGTTTTACAAAATAACAACACTGTTTTTATAAACCACAAGTGAAACAAGAATAAGATAGCGTCTAACTTCTATGCATAAAGATAGTTCTCTAATACTAATATCCTCATACTTTCTAATTTCAGATGTAATACTCCCACTGACTTAGCTACAACCTTGACATCAGGTCAAATACAAATATATTCCATATCATCGAGGCTTCTGGATTCCTGAAATCCTTAGAACGAATTGCAAAAATGTTTAATGGCTCCAGAATCTATCCATCAGGAATTAATAGATACAACCACATAACATGGCTCAATGATTAAATATATATTTACCTATACCATGTCATTACTTAGACAATTCGTCCTTTAGTGTCTTTGTTAGCAGCAAAAGAAACAATTTAATTTGCCCTCAACATACACTGCCTTATTCCCTTTAACCTTTTGGATACCCATGTTTTGTGCTAACCTAGTCCTATTATCATCCTTCTTCTTTACTTTGCCCGTCCACTTGGGCCTAGAAGAAGATGATATAGACTAGGTTAGATTGATAGGAACGCCCATACTCTTGATTATCCCTTCATCTATTACCAATTCTATAAGAATATCAGCGATTGTGAACTCAAACTGATTCCTTATTTAGTTTACTCTAACAGAATCGAACGAGTTTGGTAACAAGGCAATAATCATGTCAACTTGAAACTTACCACTCAGGTCTGCCCTATTGATCTCCAGCTAATTTTTAAATAATAAACAATCATTTTCCAAAATTCGATTTCATACTGGAGTTCCTTAGGCTATCTTGATGCTATTCAAGTCTGACATAGTACTTTGGCATACTGTCTATCTAATCTCACCAAAACATCTTATTGACATTTAACATGATGCTTGAAGAAAATAAAATAATGTA